AATACAATTTATATACATGTATAAGGGGTATTTATGGAATAAAGTTTCATCTTTCTCCTTAAATTACTTTTTTAATGTTAGTTTTTCTTATTTTGACTAATTTTGTTAACCTTACGGGAGGTTTGTGTAATTTTACAAACCCCAACGAAGGCTAGTGAAATTGTTAGAAACCTTGAAGAGGTTTATGAAATTATCCCTAATATCAGTTTCCAGTTTGTGTTTTTTTTTTTTTAAAGGTTTTAATGTTATGGTCTTATGAATGTTAAATTAGCTTCAGAATTTAATAGCTATAGTAATTATATTATGGAAATTAAGGAGCAATAAGTGAGTTTGGATTTAGTCTAAATTAAACTCACAACCCGAATATTTTGTAAGTCAAGTATGAACTTCATTTTTATCAATTCGAAATTTATAACCCGAAAATGATTCTAATTATATGACTCGAGTCTAGATTTGTTAAGCCTCAATTCAGTGGCCCATTTTACAGGCCTACTAGCATGACTAATTTCTTTGATACAAAAAAGTAAAATAAATCAGTAAACACTAGGGAGAATGCCCATGCAAAGCATGGGTGTTTATACCTGTGGTGTTAAATAATTTGGTAATATTGGACAATTTGTTTTTACCTTAGGCAAGGCATACAATTAATAGTAGCCAAAAAGGTCACAACATTGCATACTATTATAGTAGATAATCAGTTGAGAGATTTATAAAAGTTTACGCAACCATAATGAAGGGATAATAGATATAGTTGTCATTTAGATTGACGGTTGATGTTGAATAGTAGAATAGTTCTACTATTCAACGTCATACTATTCACATAGATAGATAGATAAAGTAGTAGTGCTAAGATGTAAGTAGATAAATAACTGAAGTAGCAGTCTCGCAATCTTTTCTATTGAAGAGTAGGTGATATAGGGATGAGAAAGGACACGATTAAATTTCTGCTTCTTTAGGTACGGTGCTTCTTGGTTGGTGGCTGAGCGCCTTCTGCAGAGTTTTGAGTTTTAGTAATTGTGGTTGGAGTTTTTGGAGTGGGGCTTGGTTTTGTTGTTACTTCCAAAGACTTCTATTTCATGAGTTCAACTAAATTCAGTGAGAAAATAACATAGCATATGAATATAAAGACTTGTCTATTCAAATAGCAATTTCAATCTACTCACACCATCTCATGCACTTAATTATTGAAATAAAAAATTTGCATTATCTGTAATATATTTTTAAAATTGGATCAATCATTCACATATTTGTTAAAGGCTCCACATAGCTGTAATCAATGCAATAAAATTGTAATCACATTTAAACAATAGATGACATGCATCAAGTGAAAATACACAATTAACTTGTACCTTTTGGAACAAAATGCAATCTAACAAGAAAATCTGCCCACACTTCACCCACCTGCAATAGCTACGACAAAAGCTAATTCATGAATTTTATTGTGCAAACAAAGCTATACAGTTCACAAAGCAAGAAGCATGAGTAAAAATGAAGATACCTCTACAAATCTAACTCTGATGGTCGGAAATGGTAACATCTAAACCCACAATTTTATATATTAATGACTGCCATTATTGCCACTTAGTTCAGAAACTAATCTACAAATGGTGGAGAAGATGGAGGGTCCTCAGTTACAGTTGTAACGTTGAGCTCAAATGATTCTTAATCTCCCACACTTTAATGAGCTCTTCAACATGCTGCAATTACTGGTTCAAATGAATGTGTTTTGTTGGAAGAACTCAATTAATGTTTCTAAGCTCTAACGATTAAAAGCACAAAACTTCTTACCATTACAGTTCACAAATAGTTTTCAAATGGTTCTTCTACTTTGGCCCATTGATAAACACATTTAATTCAATCGAATGGCTTACCCCAATTCACCCCACTTCCTTTCTGTCTTACCATTGTACTAAACGGGTAGTTAAAATGGTGAAACTGTCACTAACTGACATATAAGCACCATTTGTGAATGTAATCATCATCTCACAAAGGACACTTAGGTAAACTCATACTCCAATGAGCATGGCATGCTTGTACTCTGAGGTGAATTACTTGTATAGTACTTATACAATCCCTAAATTGCCCCTTAAAATATTAGATGAAAATCACCCAACAGACAAACTATAACTCGTTTTTATATGTATATAGGAAATCATACTCCAATGAAATAGGAAAATAGAGGATTGGTTACGCGCACATCCTGACCATTGGTTCGTTGTAACAGTTTGATGGGAAAGGACAACCTATTCGTCCCGTAAATATACTTAAAGAAAAAAAAAATAGAAATTTTAAGGTCTTCTCTTTTTTCTTTTTTTTTTCCCTTCTTCCTCTGGTTCGCTCCGCCATCTTGGTTTCCTTTCTGCCCAACACCATCCACCATTTCTAGTTTTTTTTTATGGCTAATTTGACTAGTTACTAGTCTCCAATCAAAACCTCCCTTCCTACTCTTCTTTTTCTAACAGAAACAAACAAACATGTGTACATGTGTGTGTGTGGCTGTGTGCAACCAAAAAAAATAAAAGAAGCAAATATACAATTCCAATTGAAGTGTAAGTATAGCTTCGAAATTATGCCATAAAGTGCAGTGTGCAAAAAAAGTCTCCATTGGAACTTGGAAGGAACAATGGAAATAATGGCAACCAAGAAAGACGCAACTGATTGAGGCAGTAGATGGCGCGGGGTGAGGGACGAGAGAGATGTGAAAACACAGAGTGGGAGTGGCTAATTTGAATCATGATTATGGGCCTTCAAGCATTAAGGGCTGAAAGAGGGTTAGTTTTCCAGTGGTGGTTATCGGGGATGCCACACAGGTTGATGGAGAAGAGATGAGAAGAAGAGATAGGAGGAGCATGACTTTATATATATATATATAATTAGATTACTTAAAGGACTTGTTTAACAATTAACATTATTAACATAGCAACTAGCAAGTAATGCCGATTGACGTAGAAAAATCTGCAGCTCGAAAGTCGAAAAGCTAACAATTTAGGACGACTTTGGTTCACAAAAATCTTGGATATAGTCACTCCCAATTCAAATGCAATTTCCTTTCCTTGTTCACGGCATTGCCTAGCTTCCAGATTTTGAATTGGGATCACTATTAAAACATCAAGTTTAAGATTACCAGCTTCGCTCCCTTAATGTGTTTAAACTAGAGATTAACATTTTTTAATCTTTTACAAGAATAATAGAAGAACTTTTGTTTCACTTTTTTGGTCTAGTTCCAATTTAGGAAGCTTAAATTTGGTGGAAAGTAGTATGTTTAATGAACTATTCAGGAGCACAAGGAAGGTAGAAATCCCATGCAATCAGAAAATATCTTGCTTTAGTCCAATAGAACTGATAATTGTTCTCACACGTTTTCTGACCTGAATGTGACAAGGGATAATTTCAAAAGCCTCCCTGAGGTTTCTAATTATTTCACTACCCTCTCTCCAGATTTTAAAAATTATGCTAAACCCTCTTGAGATTTATTATCTTGTAACATTTAGATTCAACCAACAATTAAAAACTGATATTATGAGAGAGAAAATAATATGATTCCACCGTTGCCCCTCATCTACTAAATGAATTGATTAATCTAATACACGCCCAAACATTAAAGAAAATACTAAAATTTACAATTTATCATCAGGGATTAAATCATATATGGCATCAAAAATAGTATATCATTCTATGTTTATTTTATTTAATGTAAAATTTAAATTACTCTATTCAGCTACAAATTTATCGTCAAACATAATCAACAACAAATAATAAAAAATAATTGTAACTAAAATATTACAAAGAGTAAATTTTAATATCATAAAATTCTCAGCAACTAACCTTAATTTGTTGATAAGAATATTTATGATGTTAAAGTTTGTTCTTGTAATATTTTGGTTGCAAATTTTTCGATTATTTGTTGTTAATCACGTTTGGCAATAAGTATATAACTAAAAAGATTAGTTTGGATCTTGTATTAAGTGAAAAATATAACATAATATACTATTTTTTGATACTATATGTGATTTGATCCCTAACGATAAACAACAAATTTTAATATTTTTCTTTAATGTGTGGATTAGTATTAAATTAATTAAATAATATAATAGATGAGGGACAATAATAGAATTATATTATCTTTTCTCTCATAATATTACTTTTTAATTATCGATTGGATCTTAAACGTTACAAGATAATTAACCTCGAGAGATTAGTGTAATTTTTGAAACCTGAAAGGAGGCTAGTGAAATAGTAGAGATTTCTAAAATTATCCCAGATAACAACTACCATCATAGTTTTGAAGCTGTATTTAGTTTGAGAAATGATCTTCCATTTAAGTTAAACTGAGTCCATCGGGGCCGGCCCCGGGGCGGGGGGATGGGGGGTTGTTACGGGCGGCAGATATCCTTAGCCACCACCGCAAACACCATTGCATGTTCTTTCGAATGTTCTTTGTTTGTGGACCTACTTCTGGAAAAATAATCAAATTCCATACGGGATACATGTCCAAAATTTCCCCTCCAAACAGCAAGCAACAGTAGAACAACCAGCAGTTCAAAACCATCAGAGGACCGAATTTCAAATCCTGTTGTTGGGATCTGTCCTTTCTTTCTCAGGTTCACGTACTGTACCAATCCACCTCCTCCCTCAACCTGTGCGACATGTAAATTTTGTAAACCCTGCCATCGCCTTCTTATTCAGATGAAGTTAATCACAGGGTGCTTCAGAATCTCAGGAAATGAATCTCCCGTTCCTCTTTCGCATGGCACAGCAATGCTGTTAGTTTTATATCTCTAAACAACCAAGTGAACAACTATTGAAGCACATGCTGAAACACCCCCCTCCCCCCCCAAAACTCCCACAAAAAAAAAAAAAAATCCAAATCCTGCATCTTAGAATTTTTCTACTAACTGCTTAAATCTTGGAGGAACCAGAGTTTAAGAATGACAAAGTTGCCTTCAAATGTGTGAAACATACGAAGGAATCTAGAAGCCAGATATTAAAACTTCTAATATAGGAAGAGCACTCTAAATATGCCTCAATAAATTGTGCGAAAGTAGCCCATGGCAAATCTTCATCTCCACGACAGGGGAGTCATAACAATTTGATAATACCACAAACATCTAGCTCATTCCAGGTCAATAACAACTGATGAAGAAGCAGATTGATAGCTCAGACCTTGCACCCATTTATGCAGAGGAAATTAAGGAGATCTAAGATGATAGCTAAGAGAATGTCTGTACCATCATCTGCTTAATTTTTCTGACCAAAGTCCCACCAAGCTCACTTTAAGGATATTTAACCATTAGAGACAGCAACTAGCTTTTGGTACCTACAGAGAAAAGAAAGAAGCATTTAGTAAATAAAGAAAGCACATATGGAATGGGGAAAAAAAAGCAAAAAAGCACATATAAAAGAGGGGTAGTGATAATACTAATAAGTCACAAGTGGCATATTAGTTTTTCCCTTTTCCATTATGTTTCCCTAAATCTTCAGGACCTTTAGAGTAACCATCATCGATTTTCGAAAGCCTCCCCTTGCTTGTTTCTCATAATCATGTTCTTATCAACCAAGATGATAGCTGCATCTCTTTGCTGTCCAATAACAAACAAATAAGTAATCTGTTTTTTGGTAATTAAACATCTAAACTTATGATAATAGTCACGATAGAGGAAGCCACAAAACTACAATGTTAGGCACCTTAATATCTGATAATTTCTGTTTGGACAAGGGAGATTGAAGCAACAACAGTGATACATGTGTGACAACTAGATAAAGGGCAAATTTGCCCACTATGCAGCTGCAAAAAAATAAATAAAAAAAAATATGGAAATTCCATTCATATGCAAAGTAATCTATCACTGGACACACAATTATCCACAGAAAAGGAAAAAACCAGCATGTACGTCTATTAGTCTACTGAATATTGTGTCTCAAAACCTACATAGCAACTAAACTAAATCTAAAAAGCTATCAGTGGCAAAGCCACAAAACTTAAACTCCTGAATAGCAAAATTGCACCTTATTTTGCTAGACTTTGATTGTAGATGCCTGAATCGAGACTGGCCACAGGGGAAGTGCGAAGCGGTAGACCAAATACCAGTGGATATCCTTTTTTAAGGTAACATTATCTGTTTGTAAAGTGAAAGAAGTAAAAGTATATGGTAGAAAGGGGAAAAAAACAACCTGCAGTAGATTTGATTTTCCCTACAAATGCTGCAATAGCATAACAACTAATCCAAAATGAAGAAGATGGTTAGCACAATAACTATATACCATCATCTTTCATTTTACATATTTAATATTTATGATCACATATTTAATAATGCACTGTTATTACTTCCATAGTGATGGAAAGCATACACGAATATCCAAATTTTGCGTCCCTTCGGGAATATTATTGTTATAAACTTCAGATAAGGGACAATGATGAATCCTAGCTATTCTATTTTGCTCAACTTCTACAACAATATTTTGTTGATCAATATGTGAAACTTGAGACACAAAGACTTGACTTCTATAGATCACAACAAGAGGAAATTAGGAGAGAATTTTTGAAAGGCATACTAGATGCTTTAGGATTAGGTGAGACTCAAGCATGTAATGTTGGCTAGCGTATCATATTACCGCCATCCTTTATTGGAGGGCCGAGAAATATAAGACATAGATACATGGATGCAATGACATTGGTACAGAAGTGTGGTGAACCAGATATATTTCTGACCATTACTTGCAATCCTAACTAGCCAGAAATAAAAAAAACATTTAATAGACAAAGGAGAGGCACAAAACAGACCAGATTTGCTTGCTAGAGTGTTTCATGCTAAGTTAGATCAGCTTAAAGATGAATTTTTTTAAAAAAATGTGTCTTTGGTGAAGTGGCAACTTACACTTAAGTCATTGAATACCAAAAACGTGGACTACCACATGCACATTTTTTTGCTAATTTTAAAGTCAAAATTCAAGATGTATACCCTTGAAGAATATGATAAAATTGTTTGTGCTGAAATACCAAATAACGAGAAAAATGAACATGTATATAATCTAGTTATCAAACATATGCTTCATGGGCCATGTGGTTCACTTGATCCAACAAGTGTATGCATGAGAAAAAATGGGACTTGTGAGAATAATTTTTCTAAAAACTTCTGTGAGAAAACTATCCAAACAAATCCTGAATATCAAAGAAGAGATGGAGTTCAAATTAAGATCAAATCAGCCCTTTTGGATAATAGATGGGTTGTATGATACAATCCATATCTTTTGGCCAAATTTGATTTCCATCTTAATGTTGAAATATGCTATACAATTAAGGCAGTCAAATACATTTTGTGACACCCCGAAAGAATGAGTGTGAGAACCCGCAAATTTTTATATATTTTCGCGACATTATTTTGTTTACTCGTTTATAATTTTGTGCCTTTCTTCAATATATTAATTTCGTATACATTGTTTTTAAGTAAATATAGTTTTCAAATCATTTTCTTGATACAAGTTAGACCACGTTAATTTTGAAGTGTATTTTGGACGTGGGACCCGCAAGTGCGGTAAATGCATTATATTTTTGACAACTTGTTGGAGTTTTGTATTAAGTGATATTAATTTTACAAGGTGCTAAGAGATTTGTATTAGAGAGACAAAAAGATAAGTTTTAAACCTAAAGGTGACAAGTGTCACCATAAGATTAAGTCTTGGGTTTGACTACTATTCATAACTTTACCATTTAATTAAAATTGGCCAAAAATCTCTTCATTTCAAGCTTTCCTTGGCCGAATTCTTTTGCTCAAAGAAGGAAAGAAATCTTCCAACTTCCTACTTCATAATCTTGCTCCAATCTTTAAATCCAACCGATAAAACTCCAAATCATTCCATAAAATCTCTTTGCTAAGTGGTCTTGAGGTGATTGGTGAAGTTATTTGGAAGCTTATGGTGCTAAGTGGTCTCTTTTCTTTGGTTCCAAGGTGAGTGGTGAAGGGACCCCTTTCCTCTCTCTAATGATGCTTAATTCATGATTGGTGGTAGCATAAGATGCACTTTTATGGATTATATCTTGATTTTTGGTTGAATTGGTGAAGTTTTATAATTATTGGGGATTTTTCTGTTTTCATATGAATATGATTATGTGGTCATGTATGATGATTGGAAATGATATTTAAGGAAGCTAGAAGGTGGAAAAAGTGGTAAATTGCAAGCAATTTCTGTTTTGGAAGAAAAATTGGAAAGTTAGGGTTCTTGGAATTACATTCTGCCCGATTTTGTAGATCATAGTTAGAGGCTGAATTCTCCTTGGGTTAAAACATGAAAGTTGTATGGAATGATATTTTAGAGATGCCTACAAAATTTCAGGTCAATCGGAGTAGCGTAGCTTGAGAAAAGACGGAATTACCCTTGCTGCCCTGGTTTTACCCGAAGTTGAGAATTGCTTCTGTAATGGGTTATTTTGGTTGGGAATGCTTCTAAATTGGTTGTTGAGGTCTTCTGATGAAATGTATCCTTGTATCTTAGCTTTTGGATGGCTTTGGAATTTCTGGATTTGGGCTTAGGTAGGCTGATTTATGATGTTTGCACCAGAATGCGATTTGTGAACCTGTTTTTGCGGTTCTGGTGTAGTCTCTTGCATTTTTGACCTGGTTACACTCGAAACTGGGCTGAGAAACCTTCTGTAATATTTTATCCCTATCTCCTAGCTTCGAAACGGTGTATCTTACACCTCCATCCGATAATCGTAGTGCCATTGGTGCCAAAACCGCAAAATGATATCAAAACTGTTTTTCTGGTTTTGAGCTTAACTTTCATTTCCGGACTTTTCCCTAGCTTGACTTGTACTTGTACTACTGGGAGCTTGCTGAATGGCTATTGAATGAACTTGTTGTTGTGTGTGTACCTTTGGATTTGAATGAGAAAAATAATGAAGCCTTGATGGCTGGAAAAGTAAAGAAAGACAAGGGGAAGTGCTGTCCGAACTTTGAAAGGACTTGTTTGCATTGAGCTTGTGAACTAAGACTTGGATTTGAGCAAGGCAATGATATATGATGGATGGTTCCTGAGCCATGGAGGTGAGTGACCCTAAACTGTTTCCAAAGTACTTTTGAATGTTTCTTGCATTATTTACTCGACTGCATATCATGCGTGCTTGCATGTGAATTCATGATATGATTTTGGCTTCAATGAGTTCTTGGGGAGGCTTGTGCTGGACACCAACGTCTCCACCTCTGTTTATTTGGAGCAAATGGCTCCGGAGCTCAAAAAGGGGCTCCCTCTTACTGTTAATGTTAAATGATCTATTTGAGCGTTGGGTGTTCAAGTGCTATGATTTCACTGCCTCACGAAAGCAATAAACGGACATTTGATCTCTGAATCTTGACATCATTGAAATACATTACTGTGAAATATATTTGATGACTGCTTTTACTGGTTACTCGCTGAGCTTCTGGCTCACCCCAAAACTATTTTATTCCCCTCCACAGGGCTCGAGGCGAAGGAAACGTTTGTATTAAAGTTCTCCGTGTGAATGGTTGGATGATCCACTGTACCGTTGAAGTTTTAGTTCGACCTTGTGTAATATTTGAGATTTATCTTGTATTTATATAAGAATGGAGGATCTTTGTTTTATTCGCGACTTGTATTGCTTTGATCTCTTGAGGTTTTTAGTTGATAGTGCAAGTGATTGTTTCCGCTTCGCTTATGACATGTAATTATTGGAGAATTTGATGTAATATTTGAGATGTACATTGTATTTGTTTGAGGACTGTAGTGAACGACTAAGTCCCGGCGAGAGTTGGGCAGGCGGCCCGCCGAACCCTTTGGTTCGCCTTAGGGGGAGGTGGGGCTGTCACACATTTACAAGTATATCTGTAAAGGGCATGATAAAACCAGCTTTTGTGTAGCAAATAATAAATTTGATTCAGAATTGATGAAATTAAACAATATGTATCAGCTAGGGGGCTTTCTCCGCTAGAAGCAGCATGGAGAATTTTTAAATTTTGTATGAGTGAAATAAAGCTAGCTATTATTCATTTACAATTACATCTAGAGAATTATCAGCCAATTAGTTTAAAAAAAAAGCTGATCTCCAAATTGTTGCCAATAACTATTATTTGAAAAAAAACAATGCACACTGAATTTTTTTTACATGAATGGGATAGATAAAACAGCTCAAGATCTAAATTGTACTTATGTGGAGTTTCCTGACCATTTTGTCTAGTTACCTAAGCAAAAATACTAAAAACTAAGAGAAAGAGGAGAATCAGTAGATCGAATAATGACTGCTCATCCTTCTGAAGGAGAACGATACTACTTGAGATTAGTCGTATCAAAGGTTTGATGTCCAACTTCATTTGATGAGTTAAGAACCTTTAATGGAATTTGAGTAGAAACATTCCAAGAAGCAGCATTAATTCAAGACTTGTTACAAAATGATAACAGCCAAGAAATTTGTTTACAAGAAGCCTCAATGAGGAGACTTTTTGAAACACTTTTGGTTTATTCTTGCCCTAATGACCCAAAGGCATTGTGGCTGAATTTTGAATTTTCTATGTCAGAAGATTTTGCCAAGTGTTCAGCAATGACACCTGCACAAGTGAAAAGCAAAGTCTTGCAGCAAATTGATGGCTTTTTGTAATCCTTGGGAAAAAGCATACATTCATATAATTTGATTCCCACTGGATTCTCTTATGAAAATATAGAAAATGAAACTCGAGAATTAATAGCAGAAAGAAACATTGTCATTTCAGAAACTGACTTAAATTTAATTAAGTTGCTCAATGAAAAACGGAAAAAGGCATTCATAGTCATATTTGAGAGAATTTACTCAGACAGACCTGGTGGCTTTTTCATTGATGGTCTAGATGGTATAGGAAAAACATTCTTGTACAGAGCTTTGTTAGCTAATGTTAGATCCAAAGGCTATCTTGCACTCGCTACAACTACATCAAGAATTGCAGCTTCCATTCTACTAGGTGGAAGAACTGCACATTCCAGATTTAAAATTTCAATAGATATCTTTGATAGTGCAACATGTCAAATCAGTAAACAAACTTCTTTAGCTACAATGATGAAGGAAGCAAAACTAATAATTTGGGACGAAGCACAATGTCTAAAAAAGCAGCAATCGAAGCTTTAGATG